AAGTGGTGCTTTGGCCCAGAGGCAATGTCTCTGTCATTGGTGTGGAACCCCAGGGTTCACCTTCCAGTGGACTCACCACCCGCAGGAAGGTTCAGGAAGGTTGGTACGGTGCAGTGTGATTTGGGTGGTGGTCATGGAGACTGCTGCCCCCACGACCCGGTAACAGATAAGAGGATGAAAATGGATGGATGGATAATGGGTCAGAAATATCTGGAAGGACTGTATTTGTAGGAACATGTTGTTCTGAGAGCAGATTAGTTTCACAGTTGAATTACAAAAAAAAAGCTCTTAACACACTGTTTGGCCACCTTTGAAGAACAATGACAGCGGAAACGATAGAATTCGCCAAAGTGTTGGTTTGGACTCTTTCGATTATGCAATAATAATATATTTAACTTTGTTGAAAAGGAAAAGAAAAGGGCCAAAGAATGGACTGTTTATCCACTCATTTCTATTGAATAACAGAATAAAAGGGAAATCCTTATGATGTTTTGTTTATTAATATTTTTTAGTCTCTTGTGAACATGGACTAATAAGTCACGGTTTTGCAGGTGATGGTTTTTGCCCTTTGTTGCTCTGTAAAAGCCCCAGGTTTATATATATATATCTGCAGCCCGATCTTTTATAGAGAATATGAAAATTTCAGTTTCAGCGCAGCTTTCGGAAACTGCCACTATAAGAGTATTGTCCATATCCAATAAACACACCGAATATAAAATACAGGAACACAGCCCTGAGTAATACTCGAGTCTGGAGAAATGACTCCGGTCCTTCAAAGCCACTTCTGCTTTATTTAATGAGAAAGAAAGAAGTGCAGCAAAAGTCATGGAAATGCAATCACCACCTCAAAGGCTTTTTCAAGGAGGCGACAGACAAAGCACCTGAGGATCCTGGGACTGCAGGACAGCAGGCTGCATTGTGGGTGTTCAGGAGGTTTCATAATTCAAGTGGAATCACACAGGGAATGACTCACCCGCAGCGAACACGTCACTCCGTCTGTGGCCTTATGAACGCGCGATTACACGAGGGGACGGATGTCTCTGAGACTCGCAGACCACAGATCCAGTGTCGCTGTCACTTTTACGCAGGACTGTAGGACAAAAAGAGCTAACTCTGTGAGCTGATGTACGTGGCAAGAATCTAAATGTCAACACGTTCGAGTGTGTCTGAGTTGGTAAGTAAGAAGCGGTGGTTTTCCACATGTGTCGGGCCTCCTCTAGGGGGCGCCAAAGAAGCACCAGAGATAAAGTAGCTAACTTACATGAGAAGGATACGTAAAATGAGAAAGAAACTATTGTATAATTTTTTTTATTAAATGGAATTGGAATTAAAATATAAATGTTGTTTTTTTTAGCATTTTGCGATTATTATTATTGTGTTTGAGCAGGTGCGGGTTTGTTTGAGTGTGAATGTTAAGATCAAATGATCAAAATCTGACTTTGATTTGAATGATAAACACTTGATTAACACACGGGTCTGCCCTGTCTGAAGGCTCAACTCACAACAGTATCTTGTTTGTTGTTTTTAAAGGGTAATGAACAAATGGAGCAGTAGCAGTCAGCAAATCTGTTAAATCAGCGAACGTTTTGATCATGTTTTTCATGATTGAGCAGCCCCGGGAAATCTATGTTTAAAGATCGCCCAGTATACTGGTGTGTAAGGGAGGAGGGCGGTACGAAGGGAGGGGTTTACTGTTGAGTGGGAGGCCCAAAATGTCAGACTTTGAAAACTCCAGGTATAGACCGTGGTTCCCTAATGTCTGCACAAAAATGTTTTTCCCCTCATAATTTCTGGGAAGAATGAAAGACGATACTTTTAGCTTTTGATGTTTTACCTGTTCTTCAGCATAAAGGACGGCTAATGGAACATCTCCAGGGTGAGGGCACCAACGGACGACCACAGAGACTGGTGTAACTGACAAGGTCACAATGTCACACAACAACCGCATGAAAGGCTTTGGCATGAAAAAGTCAGGCTTCTGATTTCATCAGCGCCAGCTTTGAGGATACGGGTCTGTCTGACCCCAAAGGTCAGTCAGGATAACAGCACCGAGCTTTGAAAAATAGAAAGCTTTTCTAATGCTGTGTCTATTGTGATCATTCTTAATCACACTTAAAGTCTTATCCAACAAAAGTAATCAAAATAACACATTCAGTCACATGAGTCTCAAACCTACCTCTAAAACTACCTCTAAAACTAATGTATTCTTGCGAGTCCTGAACAGGCACAAAAACACACTAAACTTTTCCTAAGATGTTTTTCTCCTCTTGTTGTTTACCACTGAAATGGAGACAGTCCCAAAAGAGGAGAGCGGAAAATTCAATGTGTCAATGAGTCACTGAACATCTCTTAGATAGTCAGCTAGCATCTGCTCCCGACAGTCGCATCGAGCCTCAGAGTGCGTGTGAAGGTGCTGCCGAAACCTTGACTTTACTTCCTCAATTGCGTCTGGAAGCTCAAAGTGAATGGTGGGTTTCATTTAAGTCTGGAAAATATCATTTTTTTTATGTGAAAATTCCACAGAGGGGTGTGATCTCCTGGTTAGCAGACTCAAAAGAAATGTTGTTAAGATGTTGGACGTCTGGTTTTACATTCAATCTCTGATTTTAATCGTATGTTTGGATCCTTTCTCTGCTTCCCCTGCTTCCTTCCCTCTTTGATCTCCTCTGCGCACTCGGCAGCAGGCTACAAATGTCAGTGTTAGTAGTTACAGTTGCTAATAAATACAGAGGACCTACATGCTCTTTATCCAGATGAAGACTCTCAGGGGAACGTCCCAAAAACAAATGGCCGCTCTCAGAGTTCCCAAATGATGCGATGGGAAACTACGGCTCTGTGGCGCTGTCCCTCTGCTGAGAAATTAGATCGATGCGTTGAAATGAGCTCAGTGTCTCCCCCCCGATTTTACAACTCACATACTCAAGATCCAGACTGCAAAAGACGTGTGCTGCTGTGTGATAGACTGTCCTCCTTATTTCAGGAGGATGTGGAGGGCTTGAACGGCATCACATCCAATCTGCCCAAGGACAACCTGCTGGGAAGGTCCTGGATTAATTTGTCTTCCTGCAGCTCCGCCATTGGCTGTTTGCCATATTTTAAAGTCAATCCTAACGGTCAAAATGCTTCTCTGTCTTTTTCTCTCCAATATCCATCTCTTGATGTCGGTCAAATCAGGAGATGGCGATACTGACAATGACGGAGAAACTTGCCGTTGCATTGAAGCAAAAAAAAAAAAGAAAAACAGAAAAGAAGTTTGGCGGTGACTGCTGGAGACTCCAGAAATGAATGAGCTCAATCAATTATGTGATATTTTGCTCCAGTAGTTTCTACATCCTTAAAAGTTCAGTATCTTTTATCTGTTGCAGATTTTTTGGGTGGGTTTTTAAAATCGGTAAGTCCCCATCCAGGCCTGCAGGTGGTGCTAAGTGTACTTTTCATTGGATATAAATATAAGTACTTATAAGTGAACACATGGCAGTAGTAAATAAACGGAGAAAAGATTACATTTTCTAATAGGGATGTCAGATAATTACGTAATATCCGTAAGTATCGTTATTGGTTTTTCCTCCGGGAAAAGATTACATTTTACATGATTCTGTATTTTGCTATGTTTACATCAGTTTTGGGGGCAAACATCTCCATCCTTGGGTGTCAGACAGAGTTGCGTCGATGCACACTTGTTTGTTTATTTATTTATTTATTTAGACGATAAACGTACCGTATATAGGTCACGTATACCTTCACACGCCCGTTAAGACCTTGCGCACGCGTGTGTTTAAATGACATACTTGATATGGACTTGTAGATTGTCAAGATGACTCATCACTACCCACGCCCCAGCCCTGCACTTACTTGTTAGGCACGGCAGGCTCTCAGACAGTCAAGCACCTCATCATTAAGTGGAGTATCATGACACCACTAACTTTGCTTTTATAAGTGCTCCATAATCAAGAACGACTTGTTTGAGTTAAAAATAAAACGCCATCAATTTCCATAAAGAGGTGACACAGGCTGTCATGTGCATAGGCCGTCTGTGCTGCCACCTGCTGCTGATTTTTTAACATGCAACCAACGGTACTTGACGTCAGACGGACATGCAGAATGAGCTTCTGATCCCTAATTCTCAGTCTGCAAAATTTTGCTCAAGCAGTCTTGGAGAATCCTTTAATGTTTAACTTAAATATGACCTTTATCTTTTGTAGTTTACGCATTATTCCTGCACAGTGCCAAAATATAATCTTAAGAATTAGTCATTTAGATCAAGAGGCGGCTGCTGTTGACACGTATAGAGGAGCAAAAAGTAAGAAGGTGAGTGTGCTGAGTAATGCTACTTTATGGACTAAAGTCAGTTACGTTTCTACGTCTGACAAAGCATTTCTCACATAGTGATCCCAGCCTAAACAACTGTTGTTCCAAGGTCTCAAACTTACTATTAAATAGGTGATAATAAATCTAATAAACCTTAGGGCTGCAGTTTATTTGATCTGACGTAAAGTATTTATACTTTGGGTGATATCATGTAAATCAAGTCTGATTATAAATTGCGTTTTTTTATTTACATGAATAATCATTTTTTCTTCGAGTTAAAAAAACGTTATTTTTATGCTTCTTGGTGTAATTTAATGCATAGTCTTTCTTCATATAAACAATGACACAACTGAAGTTTCTTTTATGACTGCCAACGTGTGATTATTCATGACCCAAAAGGCCTAAGCGAGGCTATTGGAAATGTAGCTCAACAGCGCCCCGTAGAGTCAGCCCTGAATTTTTGTCTTTTATTTTAAGTCTTTAAGTAAGTAACATATTCAGGTGTTTAACATTGGGCTGTTTCTTCACAAACTGATTACAATTATAAACATTTTTTTAATAGGGTGGCTGTGGTTAAAGTCTGATGAGATGTTCTAATTGTGGCTAATGTGATCCAGGAAAACTGGGAAATTGTGATAAGAAATACAAAGTAAGCTCTTTACATTGAATGAAAACAAATCTGGAGTGTGATTTGTTGCTCTGTCTATATTTTAGAATTTAGTTAGATAAATAAAAAGCTGGGAAGCACAAAAGAACCAGGTGTCATCAATCAGCTCGTTACTACCTGACTTGTATAAAAGCAGTTGTCAGGTGGAGTGATTATCTCCGTTTGCTCTGTCTGTGCTGGTAAGTGTTTTATGTGCCATGTTGTTTGACTTTTGTAACTTGTACCTGTAATTCTGCCTAAATCCATTTATCTCCATGTCTTGGCTAAAGTAGGCATTCTTAACTTTCCTGATAGTTTTAACTGTGTTTTCTTTTTTCAGTTTAAAGATGTCAGGCCGTGGAAAGAAAGCTGTGCCCAAACCAAAGACGTCCGTATCCAGGTCATCCAGGGCAGGGATCACATTCCCAGTGGGTCGTATCCACAGGCTACTCAGGAAGGGGCACTACGCAGAACGAGTTGGCAATGGCTCTGCGGTGTACCTGTCAGCTGTCCTGGAATACCTGTGCGCAGAGATCCTGGAGCTCGCGGGAAACGCCAGCCGTGACAACAAGAAGCAACGAATTGCTCCACGCCACATCTTGTTGGCGGTAAGAAATGACGAGGAGCTCAACAAACTGTTGGCAGGGGTCACATTCTCGGAGGGTGGCGTCATCCCCAATATCCAGGCGAGCCTCCTTCCCAAGAAGACAAAGGGGTCCAGGGATGACAGCACTGCTAAGGATATTCAATCTCAAGAGTTTTAATCTAAACAGACAGTCCTGCATGTTTTAACTTAATAAATTTGCTTTTTAACTTATGTTTGTCTGAAACTTTGCCTGACCTACATCAGTGTACAGGTACATGTATTGAACTTCTTGATTCACCATCTACTGGAGTGAGTTGCATCCTATTGATATGAAAGGTCTTGACTAGAAAGTGCTTAGGTGTTGCAGACTTTATTGGGGAAATGTTATGGTTAACTAATTTGTCTACGAAACAGTAGCTACACGGACTACTTGGTGATAGACAGAAATTAGAAAACCATGTATTGTGCAAAGCCTAAGCAGGGAATGACCTAATGTACTACTTAGGGCTGTTTACCACACTTTGACTTATGATTGTAGGTTTTGATATATAGAAGACAAATGTTTGTTTCATAGGAAGGGCCCTTTATCAAAGATTATGCAACTACAATGGCCTGTTATAAAGTGATCGTTCTTTCCTCTCAAATTAGCAACATTATCTGTTAAACCTAACTTTGATTCACCAAAATCCAACCATTTTGTAGCCCAGTGATTAATAGGCCACTGTTCTAAATGATTGAATTTGATTGTCTCCTGATTGTTACTTTAAGAGCATAGTTCATTGGCTTGAACAGCTATGTATGCTTTTAAAAGGTCATCATGCAAATGAGTTCACAAGTAGATACTTCATCTTCTCTGGGATGATTGTCTGATTTGTCCTTTTCAAGAAGATCAAAGGTTTTTGTCTTGATCAAAGACCCCTTTGCTTAGCCACCCACTATACATAAACATTAAATGTTTATTTAAATCTTGAAAAATTGATTTGATCAAATAGGTTTTGTTGTGACAATTGCCATGTTACAAGCTTTTCAAGAGTTCAATACAGGGTGCCCCAAATGGCAGATTTAAGGAATTTTAAGACAAATCAAATCCCCAAAACACCAACTGCAACATTGTTTCAGTGCTATAGGGGCCAAATAGAGGTTGCAGAATGTGCCACAAAGATCCATGACATACCTGTTGCTATGCAAATTTTTTAGAAACTATGTCTCACAGATGCATTTGTTTGTTGACAGGAGATATTGAGTTCATCTTAAACTCTCTGACTTTCAGAGTTCCTGGGTTCAGTTAAATGCAGCATCAAGTGGGTGAGTAATCTCACCTCTGTTGATATTCCAGCTTAAAGTGTTCCTGCTGCATAATGTGGTTACCGAGCACAATACTATGTGAAATTCTACATTTATTTAAAACACATCAACATGCCATTGGCTATTATTGTCTTTGTTTATTAAAAATGTACATGAAGAAATTACTACTGTAAAATAGTTAAAGAACAAAAAAGATAACAGTTCAGTATGCACACATCCACCTTAAAGTCTAAGATTTAGCAAATTTCTAATCTTAGAAATACAATTTATTTTTATCCCAATGTTAATAGGAAAAAAACAGGTGGTCTTGATTAATAATTAAAAAGTATATGTACTGCTTTTTACGTTTTATGTTTTTTTTTTTACTGCATTTACTGCAGGGAATTTTCTGATCTAGGAGACCTAAACCTAAGCTATGGATATGAGGCACTGGATCCTTCCACGACCCCATGGATTTTGCAACATTTTGTAACACTTTACTGCAACACCGTGTCTGTAGAACGTAGCCCCGTGGGTAACAGCGTGCTGACGTCAGACGTGTGAACAACAAACAGTTGTTGGGACTTCAACAAGCTAGCGAATGGCACTGCCAGAAAAACAGGTTGAACAGACTGGTGCCAAAGACAGGGGGACCTACGACCTATAACCGGTCTGGATATATTGAGCCATACCGCATTATTGTTGGCACTGTAGTGCCGTAAAATCTACTGCCTTTGTACGTGTCGTTTAGCTGTGACATTAGCTTTGGGAAACATGCTCGGAGTGTGACGCCTGTTTTTTTTTTTCGTGGCTGCCGCTGGTTGAGGGCTGTGGGATGTGAAGCCGAGCTGCTGCAGCGGCAGCAGTTGGAGGAGGAGGACACTGGGTGAGACAACAGCAGGACATTTTTGGTTTTTGTTTTTCTCATCACAACTGGAGACTGGACACTGTCGGGGGGTTACTGACGACAGATATGCGAGCACACACGGGCCTGAATGTCATTCTTGGCCAACAACTTTAGCAGGCTAGCTCACGTTAGCTCCGCTCAAATTCATGCAAATGAATCGGTTTCGTGTAGGACAAGAGGCTCATTTTGCTCGCGTAATGGAGACGTTCTGAGTGCTTCGTTCATTTCACTTGACCTACTACTGCTTGTAAATTCTGCCGACAATGTTCTAATTAACACGGAGCCTTGGGTCGGTCCTGTCATGAAGACATTATTGGCAAAAAATTAACCAGTAGTAGTTGGCTTGCTAGGTGATTTAGAAGCAAACCTGCTTGGTTTGACAAAAATCCTTACTGACGCATTTTCTTTACGGTTTGCTGTTTTATCACGCACTTTAACAATTCTTTACACCAATGCCCCATTGCCGTACCTAAATTAAAATTGTATTTAAATATTCACAACAGAACAACTCGTTAAGATATTGGTATAATTATCCTTTTGCACTTAAATATGATTTCTTTAAACGAGCACTTCTACATATGACCTTCTGAGACCACAGACAGGCTTCTCAACCAGCTCCTAGTAACTGTTTTTATAACAGAGTTTTTAGACTGGCTGGCACAAGTAAGAGATACGTTTCACAGGAAATGAAATCATGAATATTGAAGAACAGTGTTTAGATTTATGCAATGTTAAGACAAAAGGTAACATTGATGAACAAAACACTTCAAGTGACACAGAAAGCGTCACTTCGCGAATCTCTGAACTGATGACAGACAGTGAAAGAGAAAATCAAAAAATTGTTCCCACGGCGGTCTCTGAAACCTACATGATGCCACAGTTGACCGACAACCGTCAGGCGGGTGAGGAGAATAACCACCAAGTTCACAACACACTGGAAATTGATGAGGTGAATGGAAATGGAACCAGCACTGCCCTAGACACCTCTGTGATAGCTAATCCAACTGACTTCTTCTACTCTAATGAGCAGCACATGGACAATATTGGAGTGGAAATAATGAAGGTAGATAAAGACACTGATGCTGTTGTCAGCGGAGGGGCCAGTTGTGGGGACATTGAAATTGGCGTGGCCCTGAGCCCAGATGACACTGGGGTGTTGGATGTTGAACCCACAAATGACAGATCATTGTCGGACAATACTTTAGATTCTGTGCCATCATCTCAGGATGATCCACCTGCCAGCACGACAGAATGCCAAGCAAGCTTCACAGAGACTCCCTCTACAAACCAGGTTGGACTGTACCCCTCTGTGGAGGAGGAGAATGGAAAACACAAACCAAGTGGCAAAAGGGTGACATTTCCTTCAGATGAGGACATCGTCTCTGGAGCAGTGGAGCCAAAAGACCCCTGGAGACATGGTAAATACTGTGCTTGATACCTCATCTCTTACTGTTGTTCTCTTTATCTCAGTTATGGCAGGCTACATTCATAGTAATCTGACCTGTTGTATTGAAACCAGGGCTGGGTGATATGGTGAAAAAAGATAACAATATATTTTTTTAATATTGTCCAATTTCGATTTCATATCATTTTTAAACTGCCAACTGCATCTGCACTGAAAACTAAAGAGACTAGAGATTAGTTCAACATTCTATTAACATATGATGTAAATAAGAAAGCAAATTAACTAGGATGAACAAAAAATAAAAAAAATAAAATCAACAGTCCAAAAAGCAGAAAAATATAAAATAAAACAGTGAACTACTCTTGCCACACTCCTGAGTGTGATAATGAAAATGCCTTAAGATGTAAACATATCATTTTCATGGTGCGACATACACTGTTAACGTTATTGATACTTGCAAATGTAAATCATCTTTTATAACAGTACAGAGTAGCTAGTTTTAAATATAACACATCACAATATGTTGTTGTGAAATCAAAAAAATTCAAATCAAATTATCAGCACTGAATACTCTGATCTAATGCTTTTTGCAAACAACAAACAACACTCCTGATGGTCAATACTTAAAACAGTGAACCCAACATATTAACATAAAATAAATATAGAAAAGTATTTAACATCTTGAAGATCAGTCTCCAGCTTTCCTCCTCATTGTCATATGGCTGTAGCATTGCAGTTTGGGAAAAATAGTTTCTGCCAGGGATTTTGTACCTCGGGTCCAGCATTTTGATTAAATGCTTAAATCCAGTTTTCTCCACTGTGTTTAAAGGCATTATGTCTTAGCTAGACAAAAAGCAGTTGCATGTGTAATATTTTTGCTTTGGTTGTGGTAGCAGTTGCTGAGCTGCTAATGCTACACGTGTTTTGTGCCATGCGCAGACCCCACTCGCATCTTAATGCTTTTTTCACACTCTCTTGGTTAGTACTTCTTCAAATGATAAAACAGATTTGTTATGTTGGTGGTTTTTGAGGGCACCACCGTCATATCTTGCACACCAGCTTAATTTGCATTGAGTACGTTTTTTTTTTTTTTACAATAGTCGAAATTTTGGAGGATAACGGCAAGTCATTCGCTGCTTTCAGCTCTACGTTTGCTCATTCTTTTTGCCTGTTTGTTCAACTTCTCTGGCAACTTCCGGCAACAGAATTAGAGCAGAAAAAGGTCAAGCTGATTGACTGTGACACACACAGCTGATCACCATATTGACCTAAAATTGATCACAATCACTAATAACAACCATATAATCACCCAGACCTAATTGAACCACTTTTTCCTTAATTTGAGAGTAAACTGTCCCATCTTTTGTGTCTATCAGAATGCCAGATTTTAGCTTTTAACTGTGTATGTAGCTTACTTCGGGAACCGAAACCTCAGTGCCATCCGGTCCCACCGTATGTCTATTGTTGTTTTGACTACTTGTCATTTCACCAGTCTACTGAAAGCTTTTCTGTTTTCTTAGTTGGGATAGTGTTTTAATTTTTTCGTCTTTAAAACGTATGACAAAGGTTAGGAAAAGTACATTAATTGATTTCACTTACTCTTGGGATGGTTTTCTTGACTTTCATTATTATATTCCTAGCATGCAATATGAGCAAAAGGTACTGAACATAGTATCAAGTACAATAAAAAGGATACAGCGTTGGAGCACAATTCTAGAGTGCATCTCAGTACAAACAGTTAATGTGAATAAACACACGCCGTAGCTTGTGTTTAGAATAGACAGAGTAATGGTCAGTATCACCTGTGTTGACAAATGGTATTGGTGTTCTGATGTTGACACTGAGGCAGGAGAGTTGTGTTGGAATGTTCTGTGCAAAAATATGCGTGTATATCTGTGTGTATGTTTATGATCACACATGTCACGCTACAGTCTTAATTCCCCAAGCAACATCTTGTGGAACCATACTTTCTTTTTTTCAAATAGCCACATAAGTGACTCAATATTTTGGATGGTTTTTTTTTTTTACTTTAAAAAGGTCAGATGTATGTGTAAATATAGCCGTCAGCCGAGTCCTCCGTGTAGGATTAGGAGTGGGTCACACCACTCCTTGAGGTGTGCCATTTTACCACAGTAAGTTCCTGTTTGTTCAGTGAAAACGTGTCTAACGGGAGCTCATGCAGGATATGGCAAAGTCTTTACTGTATTGATACAAAGAACCCAGTCTTAAATCTGTCACCAAAATAAAAGATTCAACTGCACTCAAACACCTTGATATAATTTCTATAGTAATCTGTCTGTATGTTCCAATTGAAGCTGTACAGGTTATGGAAATTAACTAAATTAAACTACCACCTGTACATATTGTACCACAGCAGAGAAATTAACTTGAATAACAATAGGGCACAGCAAAAATGTAACACTTCTATACCATCTAGTCCTACACAATTTACCTAAAGTGTAAAACTATAATTATGCCTGTCTGGCTCATATTTCAAAATCACGAAAAGTGATTAGAAAACAATTCTAATGGGGAATATGTTTGTTAATGATGTAGTACATATACAGTATTTAGACTAGTTTTTTGTGAGCTAAAGGTATGATTGTGACATGTTAGCGATATCAACATTACCCAATGTGGGGAACATTGTCAGCCTGTGTCTGTGTGTTTGTCACTGTAAGCCAATGAATGTCCTTTGCTTTTCTTTGGTTTAGATAAAACCAGAATTGTAGACTGGTTCAAGGCTGGAGTCAGTGTTCTGACCTCCTCAAATGGGGTAGAAGGAGTTTAAAACCAAGCAAACAATTTCTTTATTAACACTGCAACAGTACTTGATCAGACAGACATCACAGAAGTTCATCCTGACCTATTTTCCCGCTTGTTGCAACTGTAGGTCCAGCATACAGAGTTATATATGGTATTACCATAGCAGATTGAGATTAACCCTATGCTGCTCCCTTTAATAAATGCACATGCTAGGCCTCTAACAGTTCTAAAAGGTTGGACCTGAAATAGACTTAGCCGCATGCTATAAGAACAAAATGTCCGGTGCTCTGGTTCATTACAAAACACAGACTCTCCTTGAGACCAAGATTATTTATGGCTTAGTTTATTTAGGTTCCAAAGGTCCTGCTGACTTTGTAGCTGGTGCGAAAGAGCACAGATAATTGATGGCACTGAGGTTAATCACACATATTAATGGATGATTACACAATAATGTATTTGCTGCCTCAGACATTGTTTTTTTCTTCATACGTATCAGCTTTATTCAGATACTCACCTTATTTTACCTCGCACCCAGCAACAAGTTACAACAGGCAAAAAACTACAAAGGTCAAATCAAATACCACAAGATTATAATCGTAACATTTTGGTCCATGTTTTGCATCCAGTACATGTCATCATCATCCCCAAGGATTAACAAATCTGCAGCCTTATTAATCTTTGCTATTGTTGCTGCCTGTGCAAATGTCTTGTTTTATATATATATTGATTTGGAGTCTTCTGCTTTCAATCTCTGGCAGTTTTATTTTCTACCATTCTTGATAATTCTTTCATCTTACCATGTGGAGACATTTTGATAACTGTTTGTGTCTCTGTTTTGATCAAAAGAGCATAAACAAGTGTTCTCAGGCTAACTATTAACTAAACTTGTTTTCCCAACAAAAAGCCCTTAAATGGGTTCATGTATGTCAAGCACTGTTCTGTATGTCTAAAAGATATACTTAGAAATATTCTACAGTTTAAAAGAAAAACACTCACACCACACTTGGTCTCACTTTTATTTTGCTGAGTGTTTACATAATAGGCATTTCTGCTCAGTCTTTTTGCAGCTTCCTGTTTACACTCAACTGGAAGTGCCAATTTCCCAGGGATTGCTTGATTCTCTGATGTGTTACTACGGTTGAAGATTAGGTCTGAACTAGAATATATATATATATATATATATATATATATATATATATATATATATATATATATTTTAAATATATTTTTAAGTTCATCGTTGCTTCATTAGAACCAGAGTCAAAAAGAATCAATATGAAATTCCTTTGTTTTATGTCTGCCATACTACGGAAAGACAAACAATTAAACAAGTTGAGAAAACCTAATAGGGAAAATTTAAATATGCACATTTTGCATATATTTTATTTTGCAATTAACACAACAGTTGGAAACACGGTATTATTCTATGTCTAGGGTTTGATTTATCTGCCTGGGGTTCACCTTTACAAAGCACTGGTATGTGGGACACAGTCGCACACAAGACCGGTTGTCCGAATGTGTGTGAATGTGTGTCTGAGTAACATTCCAGGAAATGAAATGTACCTGAATTCCTACCCTAAGGGTTCCTATTCTGCTTTACATGATGCATGATCCGGTCAGAACTTTTACGTGCAGATCAGGTGTCTGTGTCCCAGTCTTATATCAGCTCTCCTAAACAAAATCCGCCTTGAAATTTCTCCTATTTTCTAAGAAAAGGAAGGTTTTTTATTTTAATACTGTTATGTGCATAGTTGGACAGTATAAGAGAGCAGGTTATGTCTTTGCCTTCACTCTGTCTAGACCAGGCTCCTTCCTGGCCCAAGGAAATACTACGTCATATCCTGAGAATCCCAAATCCAATTCTTACCAACCAGCTACAAGACATATTGTGCCCTGGATTATTAGAACCTCTGTGACTCATCAAGTGTTACATGCTGTGGCAACTGACCAAGATACAAACAGATAAGAAAGTTGTGGGCGCAGTAAATTGACCCTCGAGAGAGATTGGTTTTGATTTTGGTGTTTGATTGTAAAGTCGTTAGATAGCATTTTTAAAGATTGATGCACAGATTTTACCTATTGGATGCATTGTTGCATCTCTGGGTGCTTTGTGTCAAAAAAACTACTTACAATTGCTTTTGATGACATACTAAAAATAAATGTGTTGTATACACAAAACCATGAAGACCACAAGTTCATGTCTTGCATAGATGGTCAACCATTCATTCTATATGTGCCTGTGTTTTT